ATTTACGTTTGGTGCGATCATCTACTACGGATTATATTCGTAATATTTACGTTTGGTACGATCATCTACTACGGGTTATACTCGTAATATTTACGTTTGGTGCTATCATCCTTTTTTTTTTGTACGTGGAGAAATCCTCATGGACACTCCGCTGCTGCAGTAATCGCGTAACAACAGAGTAGTGTCGGACTCCTACCGACTAAAACTCCACGATGACCATCCTACGCGTGTGACAGGGGTGCTCCAGGAACCTCTTATGAATTAACTTCTGTTGCACCCCCTTCTCGCGTCCTCTTGTTCGAGCCAATTCTAGTACCTCCTGACTATTGAATTGGCGTTAGGGGGGTCATTGACCCTAGCGCTGTCGCTCCCTCCAGGCGTGGTCCGTTGGAACGAGTGCTTTTCGTGTACGGGAACACAGCCTGACTCTATAGATGTATGATATGGCTGCCCGTTATGTGTAATTCTTCAGTCTACCAATCCTAGTACCTCCTGATGGTGCCATCATCTTTGTAGGTTAAGGGATTAAGTTTACTTTTTGAAGATGTGAATGGAGGGACATAACCGGAAGCCACGCAAAGCCGCAAGACGTGGGTCACGCATAAGACGATAAAGCAACGATACGATATCATGTAATGTATCCAATCGAAGGACAATAGTTGACCGATATTTGATTGGAAAATATTACGATGACAAATAAAAGTTTCAACTGTATTAGAATTTACATCCATCGATAAAACTTGAAAAAATATCTCCAATTCACTGTTGGCGAAGATCGATATCTTTTCGTCCACGCTTTTACACTAGTTTAACGATGAACATTGCAACGGGAAAAGTTGAATCCCATGTGACATTTACGTTCGAACGAGGTCAGTTCGCCGGAAGCGTTTACACCGCTTTATCACGCAGTCGTTCTCTTCTCAAACTCACATGCTCACGTTGAACGAATAGACGAAGCACATGGCTGTTATAACAAATGCGACTAAGCACAAAAGTACGCGGTGTCCGCGAAAGCTTATTACTCGATGTTTACAATCGCGAAGAAACTTGGTCGGCGTACATAACGGTGGAGTACACTTTACGAACTCGACAGGGAAGTTTCAGCCGCAGAACTTTGCCGGCCATACTCCGAACGATTTCAAACGAGGCCTGACGACCTCCCAATCTTATAATTAACCCATTTCGCCGTGGAGCTTTAATTTTCGGTCGCCCGTCCGAGATTCAAAAGTTGCGATTCGGTAACAGTGGCGTCGCTGAACTACGCCAGTCGCGAAACTTTTATCGTTTCGACGGATGAAACGGTTTTGGCGGCGTGAAATCCCGTAAAACGATTACTTTCTTACGCAATTTATTGCGTATAAAAAGAGGGAAAAACCGTGAAGGACCCGAAGTTTCATTAGATATTAAAAGCAACGAATGTCCTTAACTTTAATTGTAAATTAACGACATGTTATGATTCCAAAAGAAACAAAAATGATTTCCTTTGGTAAATAAATATTTCAGTCACAATAATATTTCCTTATGATATTTCAATTGTAATTGATCGTATTTAAAGATAAAAGTTGCAGTTATAATATTCTTATTTCCTAGAGGAACGTACGAAAAAGTTTGCAAAGGGCAAAGGGTAACTCAAACTTTCGAGCGGATGTTTACTGTGAAAAGATCTCGAGGCATCCACGACAGCAATTTCGTAATTACGTTTTAAAGAAATAATCGCATTTATTTAATTTTATTGACTTGCAAAGAAAAGAACGTTTTAGCATGAGATTTCACCCGTGACAGCATTAACGTGATTTTCTTTACTGATGGTGTTTTACAGTTAATACCATTAGCCTGTCAGAAACTCGTGATATTAAAACCATCTTATTGATTAACAACGAAAATTTCCCTCGATATTTACCATGATATATTAAATATGTCTGGTACGTGGTTTATGCGCTCAAGTATTGGCACATCGAGCTAGATTGCACGTTCTCGTATTTAGACACACAGAATCACCCATGAGTTGTATATTCATTGACAAATTGAAGCAGTTGCCCTCCCGTTTGGTTTTCGGACATCTAGTTAATAATACGTAAGCAATTATGCCTCTGTTTATTGATGCCCATCGTTACAATATAGCGATTATGACAGTGGTGCTTTATATTTCGACGCGTGGCTGTTCATTAGCGAACGTCAATATTTATTAAGCGTACCAGATGGATAACAATGCCGTACAGGCAATCACAAACATCACGAAGTGATCAAATAATGTGTAAATAACGGCTAATAAGAGTTTCTATGAAACGAAATTAGCCTGACCTGCAATTTGATTATACGAGACCGGATAAAATTATTTTCTGAATAAAGCAGAGCAGATTTCGTTCTCATTGTCAAAGATAGGAAAATTTTCGTACAGTTTTACGATCAATGGGCCATTCATCGTCTATTGATATTTCGTATAACGAAAATAACAGTTGACATCGATCCAAAGCAATAAATGCAACGTTTACGTTTTATTATAATTCGATTTCCCTGTCGTTATAAAAACAACGATGTTGAACGTTTTAGTTTTTTTATTTATGAGATGCGTATCTCGTAAATAACAATTAAAAAGTTGTACAAGATCGATGTCAGGACAGTCGAATTAAATTATATCGATCAAATTGAGTAATTATTTGTAACTTACACGTAGCCGTACTATATGTTTCTTCTTTTTTTTTTTTTTTTTTTTTGTTAATTGAGTAATTATTTGTAACTTACACGTAGCCGTACTATATGTTTCTTTTTTTTTTTTTTTTTTTTGAGATAAAGTAATTACAAGCAGACTAATTGTATTACTTAAACTTCAGATATTTTCCGCGATATTTCGTCCGTAATATCCTCTTTAAAACCTTCCACTTCCAACTCTCGCCGTATTCTACTTTCAACGTTTATTGACCAATAAAAGTGCTCTCGCCATCAAACACACAAAAACATACATCTGCCACCAACTAATCACACTAAACATTTAAAAAGTTTATCTACCGCGCATATTCCAACGACGCTTAGCTTTGACATCTTCTTTAACGTCTATTACATCTACGTACGATGCGAATTACTATACTGTACCGTATAAATTACTCATATTGTACTAACATAATAGGAGCGTATAAAGGAGAGAGAAAGGAATTGGGGAAAGGGCCAAGAAGGGAAAAGAACAAGAAAAAGAAAGATGAGCTTAGAGGAGGCGAGAGAAGGAAGGACACGAGTGGAGGCAGGAGATAGACAAGAAAGGATGACAGTTGACCAAATCATAGAAGAAAGAGGGAAGAGAGAAACAGAGGAGAGGGAGAAAAGGATAAGGCAATCTAAATACAACGGAAACATAGCAAACGAAAGGCTACCAAAGTATCCAGATGGAAAGATGAAATGGAAGGATAGAAGTATGGTAGCGAGATTTAGATGTGGTAACGAAACCAGGGCAAGGGAACACTGGAAAGAGGAGGGAGAAAGAGGATGCAGACTATGCAAAAAAGGAGAGGAGGACTTGAAACACGTAGTAGAGGAATGTGAGATAACAGGAGGAGCAAGGAACATGGTAGAAGTACTGAATGAGACTGGAGAAGGACTGGCAGAACTGAAAGCGATAATAGAGAAGAGAAGAGTAGCGGAAGAGGGGAAGGAACGATAGGGAGGGACCACAGCAAGGAAGCAAAAGCGAAAGAAGGAATGAGCACTTCATTATAAGCGTTAGATATAAGTAGTACATAGAGATAGAACAAGCAATAGATAGGTATAAGCAGTAAATAATAATAGAAGTGCTAGAGTAAGAGGAATATATGTAATGTAAGGGCATTATAAGAGATGTAAACCGAAAGTCGAAAGGTGTGGACTAAGAATAAATAAAATAATAATAATATATTAACATAATAGTGGTATATTCCTAAATGTACTATTCGTCGAGGTGGTTATCGCTTCTAAGAAAATTCTACATCCGATCTTTTTAGTTTTCTCAAGCACCGAAGCCATCGACAGCGTATAGACAGAAGACCGCGACGAAGACAGACCATAAACAGTAGACAGGCGACGTTGGCTTCGGGGTTTTTTTCAGTTATTGGGTAACACAGCTAGCGTGTGGATGTGGACCAGCTCAAATTGCATTCTTACTTATAATTACACTTCTATTTAAATATATTTTCTACCTTACAATTTATCCACGAGCTTCTCTGTTTACACATCAAATAACCTCGACACTGTTCATTGTACATATAATTATCGCACACTGTGAAAAATAAGCACAACCACATACGTTACCATGATATTTTAGCGGTAATATACAGTCGGTGGAAAAAGTCTCTGTACACCCTTCGAAACGTGATAATTTTCAGATAAAATTCTCAGATAAAAATGTAATAAGAAGTTAAAAAAAGTGACCTTTAGCATTTCCTTCGTGATTCCGATCAGTTGCGATTTTGTCGACAGTTTTTCGTACGCCTCATCCAATAAACTAATTCTTCTAACAATTAAGAAAAAAAGAAAAAATCTCAAATTGTTTGTTATTCTGTTGTAAGGAAAGTGGGGAAACTTTTTTAGTCGACCGTACATCATTTACCATTTCGACAACTTCATTAATCAGTCGGAAAATATTCAAATCCATAATAAGACAGCTCGATCATTTTCTCTAGCCGTGTCGAAACATCGTCTGACGAAGAATCGCTATTTCGCTTATTCAAAGCACTCTTTGAGCGATTTCTCATTACGCGAACGAACCACGGAGGAAGAAAGGTCGAACAAAGGTGATTCCAAGACCGATTCAAAGTTACCTTCCTTTCTTCTTTCCGCAATTAAATACTTGAAATAGGTGCGATTTAATTAACGAGCTTCAGAAACGTCATATTTACCGTGCGGAACGTGCGCCCACTGGTCGCGCCTCAGACTGCACTGGAGACTACTTCTATCAGCGCGCCAAGTTTATTCTCGGCTGCGAGCAGATTTAAGCCACGTTAACGCCACATTTTGTATTCTTACGTGTGTTTTAGACTTCGGCGTAACGACAGGCCGACAGGAGGCGCAATACCCCTGTGCATTTGTTTACAACAGCAACGAGACACGGAACGGTACGTTCGCCTCGCCGAATTACCCGGGCTTGTACCCACGCGACACGGAATGTCATTATTTCTTCAATGGCCAGCTAAACGAGCGGGTGCATCTTCACTTCCACTTCTTCGACGTGGAGGGCGTGTCGCCGTAAGTAAAAAAAACTCGACGAGACAATGCTTTAACCTACGCGTTCCCTGATAGTTATAGAATGTTGGATTTATAATTTAAAACTTTCAACGTGATCGTTATGCGTGAATGATTGTTACGCGTTACGTGGGTGGAAGATATTTCGCTATATATCTGGTTACAAATTGTTTGCCCTGATATCGTTAAAAAGAGTTTCAAAATGATTTTGGAAGGGAGACTTGCGACGTTAACGCGAACAGTGACACGTAAGTAGTAATTTTATATATTTGGTAAATGCTAGATATTATTACTACCCCTTTTGATGGATATTTTCTATTTATTGTTTATTAATTCCTGCAATTGCTGTTTCTAATTATTAATTTTTCGTTGATTCGTACTGTTCAGGTATATTCCCGTTGTTACTGTAGTGTCTGGATACTTATGTATTTGTATTATACGTGAAATAGGATACTTAAAAATATAGGAAAAATTGGTAGGGATCGAATGCCATCTAAAGCGAATAATATAGTAGTTTCTAATTTTGTAAACGTTAAAGACGTCCTTTGATTTTCATTTTGACGTGGCCGTATTTGCATTTTGCGACGTAATTTTCTGATTGTATAAATTAAATAAGAATTCAGAGTCGCAGAGAATTATTCAAGACTGTACACGTTACTGTAGTATTTCGTTTAAATAACTTGAAAAGAGTTATCCATCCGGATGAGACGGATTTAAGTACCGGTATTCTATTCGCGATACAATACTATACAAATTAATTCAGCGTACAAAGGAAAGAATCGGCTAGTATCCATAACAATTTCGACGAAGATAGCTTGTAACGATTTATTTAGATAATGATACTTTTACTACTTCAATCTTTAAAATACATTTTGTGTTTAAAATGAAACTTAAAACGCACGGTAGAAAGGGGAGAAAAGTGAAAAGTAAGATTAAAAGAAACGCGAAGAAACGGCACACGGAACGGCACGCATTACGTTTCGTTCGTTAAAATTAATATTTTATGCTGTCAGTTATGAAAATCAAGGGATTTCCTCGCTGAGATTTTTCTATAAAATTACTATAAAATCAACCGGTCATGCCTTTTAATTTTTACTAGCAACGAGAATTCCCGTGAAATTTACCGTTACAATGCTCATCTACTTTCTGTTAATATTTATTCCATGAATATTTAAACACAGAAATCAATAATGTATATACTAGCGAAATCAGAAACGGCAATAAAAGTCACATAAGGGGAATCCTTCGAATCGCGTAAATGGGAAGGAACACGAACATCAGACAGGACAGATAAACTAGCTATTCGAGCGTGACTAGAATTCTATGTATCGATCCTTCTCCGTTTCCTTCTCGTCACTCAACGAGACTAGGTGAGACAAAGTGAGTATCCTTAGCCAACTAGAAGGCTACTGGAAGCAAATCGATGCTAGTTCGATTGGGTTTCCTGATGTAGTTCGACGTTCCACTAAATCAAACTACGTCAGACAAAGTTTCAAGCTGCTTATCGGGGACGAAGACTTCACATGCAAAGAGAATTCGGTAACCGATAGGCCAAAAGCTCATCGGAACGTGCAGTATTTGCATCGTGCTGACCAATTAGCAAGCACAGCTGATTAACGACTATCGGTGATGAGAGACGGAAAAGCTCGATGTAATCCATCATCTGATATTAGAACAGATTGCTAAGGGCTACGGTTTATCGGATGGTTTCAACGATTGCCGCAATTGCTGTTTTTCAAAATAAGATTTTCGCTTTCTTTGCCGTCAACGTGCGATGATAAAATTGGTATTTGTAATTATGGAACACGTTTTTCATCGTCGGATTCTTTTATTCCTAAATTACAAATTACGTCAAGAAGGATCCTCTAAATTGATAGAAGGACTTCTAACCTTAACGCAACCAGTGGTATTTAAATAGCGAGTGCATGTAATGGTACGTATAGTAAATGATAAAATATAAAAAAGTTAGTTCATTTTAATGTTTGCTTAAAATTCACGTAACGTTACTGCTAAAATCTACGAAAACGCCCTGATGCTTGTGAGCGGCAAATCCTTACATGCTCGATCGTTCCTTCGATATTAATCGCAAAGCGTAATACGGCTGATACAGAGCAGTAGCCTTGCGATACGGGGAAAAAAAGAAGTTTACGTAATAACCTAATTGGGTCGTATTAAATCGCCATCAATAACCACGTTGTAATACACCGCATCGTTCATTACTGAAAGCCGCTAATTAGTCGTGTTTTGCCGATTTCTGCCCAACTTTTGAACAATAACAGCGAGAGGAAGCACGAAGTAGGCCTCTGTGACTCCATCGATTCTGCTCTCCCCGGCGAAATACGACCTGAATTTAATAATTCGAGGTCGACCGATATCAAAATCCTTGGAAGAAGGCACTTGCGTCTGTCGTTACCGATAATGTAAATTCACGTATAACGAGCACAGCGACTCCGTTTCCGCTCTTTGCTTCTCTCTTCCCTTGCCCTTCTTTCGTTCGAAAAGCATCCACTGTAAATATCGCGATTCGAACGAGACTCGAATTAGACGAAGTGCAACGCGAACCTCGCGATTCTTGGGCCGCGCGCGTTCATTTCGTTGCCGTCTCGCGAAGAAAAGATACATTCCTATCCGTAAATCCGGATGCGAGTAAACACTGGGAAATATATGTTGGGAAACGTGAAAACCGAATGATGATCTATCACGGGAATTGCCACTTATGTCATCGGTGGAAGGGGCGATTCGCATGCTATACGTCTCTGCTTCGACGATAATAGCATCATCATTCACGTATCAACATTTCTTACGAGCGCGATACATTATTTGCAGGCAGCGAATGCATTCTTCGACGGAGGAAACGGTCGCGTAAATCGTCGTTATCAATGTCGTACGTTCTTCGTGATCACCGTTTCCTTCCGACTTTAATTACAGGATACGGAGTCGTAATATTTTCGACCGTGGCTTCGTAATATTTCTGATATTTCCGCGGCCGCAATCCACCAGACGGTGGTGACGTGACGTTGGTGGTACCGACCTGCACGTTACCATTAAAGTTATTTTCGCGCGGTCGTGGCAAACAAAAACTCGAACTTGGCACACCGTGGTCGGCTCTCAAATCGTTTCGCCGTTGCAGAAATAAAGCGTTATTTCTGACCGCCTCTGTTCCGCCGAGCTTTAATCACGGGTTACGTAATCGGGAATTCGTCGACTCCGGCGAAACCCTCCAGCGAATATTTATGGAGCACGAAGGCCGACTACCCCGGAATATCCGAAAACAGAATATCCAGAAGGATATTCCCACTGTAAATACCGTGGATGAAGGCGAGACCGCGCACTTACACACGTACAGATATCGAAATTATGCGCGGCAAGAGCCAAGATCGAATTACTTATGGAATTGCCGGCCCACGCAGCCGCCAAAGCAATTTATGAGCACGCGCGACGCGTCGCGCGCCCAGAAAAATCATTCGAATCTTCTCGATATTCGCCGCGAAAGGTGAATATTTCAGCGACGTGCCGACCTTCTCAGTCCTCCATGTATATCAATTTACCGGTGATTGCGTAACACACGACCTCACCGAAAATATAAATTTACCAGACGAACGACAAACTTAGGGCACCGCTGAATAATACATCCGCAATTGTATTTTATACGTAATAGAAGCGCGCCCCGGTTATACAGCGGACCGGTCATCCTTGCTGAAATGGCTGATGTCATAAACTTTTATGAGCTTACTAAATATGTGCTTTATCCGGTGAGATTGTATGTGCCGATGAAGAAATGAATTTCCTCGTCGGAATATAAACGTACGTTTCGATCATTCTAGCGTGATTGGTCTTTTTGCTGTACAGTGACTCGCAAAAGGTGTTTGTACATCGCTGCATTTACTATTGCATTTATACAGGGTGGTTGGTAACTGGTGGTACAAGCGGAAAGGGGGTGATTCTACGCGAAAAAAGAAGTCGAAAATATAGAATGAAATTTTTTTTTAATTTAAAAAATTTTTTTAAAAATCTACAGTGAGATCCGTTATAACGAGACGTGATAAAGTGCACGCGTACCCAATGAAAATTCAAAGTCGATTCTCTCGAAAACAATGCCTCCAACGAAAAAATTTTGTTCTATATTTTCGACTTCTTTTTTCGCGTAGAATCACCTCCTTTCTGTTTGTACCGCCAGTTACCAACCACCCTGTGTATTAATTAATTAGATCGCACAAATTTCGAATCGTTTGGCGATATGTACCTTTATATCGTTGCGAAAATTTGATGCTTTTTTGATAATGATGCAAATACTTTTCGTAACCACCGTGGATCGTTTTCCATGCTGCACATTGCAAGGATGCACTTGTCGTTCGTAAGAATCCGGACACTTTGATCGATTTCTTTTTTTACATTTTACATTTTTATTTAATGTTTCATTAACAACGACACGAATATTGTTAAAGTATAGAATTTAATGAGAAACTAACTTTGCTATCATTTTATGAGACCAACAGATATACACAGTGACTGTAAAAGTATTTACTCTTCGTTGTATTTGCGATAAGGTGAACGAAGAACGAGAAATGGAATATTTTTAGAGCGAGAAACATCTTCCAGCCAATCGCAGTTTTTATTTTATTTTAATTACTAATTGCTCGTTTCTACTGCAACGTTAACTCCCGCTGCTATTAAATTTATGAGACACGTATCGATGAATTATTGCAAGCGGTCTTTAACAAACCATACCACGATAAAATATCCATTGAAAATTTGATAATTAGCACTGGTATTTCGGAAACAATTTTCTATCGCGATTGTAGAAAGGAGACGAGTTTAACATTTATCAATCGATATGATCGCACGCGAAATTAGAAACAAATAATGCGTTTAAATTATACTCGATGTATACGTTATTAAATATCGTAGCCGGTCGATAGCGTTGAAAAAATTGATAACTTGCGAAAGTGTATATACACATAACGAAAGAACCAGACTTCCGTAATAAAACACTCTGAAAATTG